ATGTATATGTATATGTATATGTATATGTATATGTATATGTATATGTATATGGACACCATACATTACTCACCCTGAGAAGTGAAAAGATACAGAAAGATCAGGCACACAAATTCCATCCTGACCGCAGTCTTTCTGGAAAGGAACCTATTAAAATACGAGATAAACAACGATGGGGTAAGTAACATGGACTAATGAACGGAAGGGGCTTTCTTAAGGAGGGCATAGATGAAGCAGGCAAAGGCATAAATTAATGTACAGATGGGTAGAATCAAAGATCTTACACGGGATAATGTGTTCACGAGTTCCTCAAGCATCTACATATACTAAATGTTTCTCTGTTGTCTATTTTATATTCTTCAGTTGCATTATAATGCCACAATGTTTGAACTGGGTACCTTGCTAACTTTATTGGGTAAACTTGCTAACTTAAAAGAACCCAATTATCTATTACTCCTGCATAATTGAAATGTCCATGATGTTCAGACCAGCTTGAATTGGAAAGTTATGGCTGCTGAAGCATCCCTGTGGTTATAGGACTGCAAATTTTGACATTCCCTACCAGCTTCCTACAAGAAAAATACCGGTAGTTGGGGAAGCCAGCAGGAAGTCAGAAGTTGCTTTCATTCCCTCAGGTTTTTTTTTGCCCGCCTGTAATCTTCCTGTTTAGGTAAGTAAATATTGACATTATTGTTTATCATTACAATCATTTTTCTATTGATGATGTTTACTCTTCTTAGATAATCATTGGGTAACTATCAGTAAGGGGGGGGGATTTGGGTCAGTTTAAAATTGAATGTTTGTTCACATTACCTTTCGCTCAAAGGATGACCCAATGGGTCACAGGATTGTCTAGTTTTACTTCTTTAGGAGGATGGACTTTCCAGTTTTCTCGTTATGAAATCTGTATGACAGCTATCCTCTATGTCAGTGTTTTTCACCCTTGGCAACTTTAAGATGCTGGCTGTGGAATTCTGGGAGTTGATGTCTGCCCATTTTAAAGTTGTCAAGATTAAGAAAGCTGTTTTATGGAGGCAAGGAGAATCCATTCGATCACACAATCATAACCAGTGGCTTCAATTTCAATTTAGCCAGGTTATAACATACCAAAACCTTTCACACTGGTGAAATCCCTTCATAACAAATATGCCAGCTGCAAAATATGTCATCTGACAGATTACCTTATAGTCATTAACTCAACTCAGGTGGAGAGAGATTTAATAGAAACATTTTAAACTTTCTGTATTAGTGAACTCTATAAATGAGACTGGGGACATCCTACTATAATTCCAAGATTCTGTATTTATCCGAGACCCCACTGAAAACTCCTTGGTGATATCTGTAGTTCTTGTTTCCTCAGTTTCCTCTGTGGGACGTGGCTACACAGGCTCACATGAGTGGAATTATGTATGCATGTGGCGATGCACATATTGGCTGGCCACTCACGTGGCCCAATGGCAATTAGCTTATGGCCCAGTAGTGGGTCCCGGTCCACAGGTTGGGGAAACCCGTTCTAGATAAAGGAAGTGCTAAAACAGACTGCAGAAAAATACCTCAATGTAGGTGGAGGTTTTTGTCTCAGGGTGAAGGACGGGTTGCAGATTGTTGTTATCTGGTTGCTCCTGAACTGAGAACTTTGTCCACAGCACAACTGGAGAGAAGGAGTCATCAAGGCAGGCCTGGGGCCAATTAAGAAAAAGATTCTGGAGATCAGGCATTTCTATCCAGATCAGTACATTTCTCCATTCAGTGTTATAATTCTTACAGCTGCAGTCCTCACAGCAGGAGCGCCAAAGGTATACATTCCTCAATTTCTCACCAAACCATTTGAAGCCAACCTACTTTGACATCTAATCACTCTGAAATGCTAAAAACACCACAAACAGATAATCAGCTGGAAAGCACAAAAGAAATCTTTATTTAATCATGTGATTATCTGATCCCAGAGCAACAAAATCCCATTCATTCCCGTAAGCCCCACACTGGAAATCAAATTAAGATCCCAAAGTTAAAATCAAATAAATGTCTAGCATCACCTTGCTACCCACAGGTTTAGTACATCATGTATTCATTTCGGTGAAAATATCTGAGTTCTTGATAGGAGGGGAAGTTTATATCGCTGCCATTCCTCTACTGCATTTAAAAGTCCCTTCAAGCTATAAAGCTGAAACAATTGCATGGTTAGCATTTCTGCATGATCTTCTTGTCCTAATAGCTGCAATCAAGAGTAGATTGCCAGAGTAGAGAAGGAACATACAAATGGTCCTTGACTTATGACCAGTCACATAGCGATCTGTTCAAAGTTTCAATGGACTCAGATTTATAGCTTATAGGTTTATTTCATTTCTATGCCGCCCTATTCCCGGAGGGACTCAGGGCGGCTAACAATCCCGGGGGGGGGAGGGGGTAGTACAGACGAGGCAACACAACAAGCAGCTACAGAGAAAACAATTTTTTAAAAAACAATCAACAGTCACACAATTCGAGCGGGGAAGGGAACTCGTCAATCCCAGGCCTGCCGGAATAGCCAGGTTTTAATGGCTTTACGGAAAGCCTGAAGGGAGGTGAGGGTCCGAATCTCTGCAGGGAGTTCGTTCCAGAGGGCCGGAGAAGCCACAGAGAAGGCCCTCCTCTGGGTAGTCGCCAATCGACATTGGCCAGTAGATGGAATCCGGTGGAGGCCTAATCTGTGGGATCTGATGGGTCTTTGGGAGGTAATTGGCAGCAGGCGGTCTCTCAAGTACCCAGGTCTGTTCTGACCCCCTCCTCCGTCCAGTAACGAAA